AATCTAGAGGTTTATTTTTGATTTTAAAGTGTTTAAGTCTTAAAATATTATTGATTTTATCAACCATAAAAACAGTTTAGACAAAAATTTATTAGAGTATTATCACTATTTTTATCATTTTTATGATCACGATACATATCTACATATATTTAAAAACGAAGAAAAAACGTTCAAAAACAAATTAAACATTTGACACCGGAGCACCTATCCCAATGTACATAAAAACAGACATGCGTTTGAAAAACAGTACCCTGTTGGCAGAAAGATAAAAATAACAAAATCGAATGAGATATATTGAGTAATAATTTAGATGGATATTAAAATTTGTAGCCGAAACGACTGAACGGATTTCGATGAAATTTGGTACACATGTAGAGGATAGTCTGGAAGAACACATAGACCACTCACCTTTATTTTTTTAATTCCACATTTGAAGTTGCGGGCAATAGTGAGTAAATAAAGGTATCTCAGCTATGGAAAATTTTATTTTACTGATTAAAATGTCTTCTAAAGTATAAGGCTCAAATACCGAGTACAACGTGAAAATCTGCGAGACAATTACTTCTCGTTTTTGAATGATCGTTAAAAAGTTGGTAATTACTCTCGCGGCAGACGTTTCTCTCGAGTTTTCCCACAAGATATTTAACATGAATTATCTTTTGTTTAAGTAAAAGAATTTCACAGGAAATTTCTATAAGCGTAAATTGTATTAAATGTTTATTTACATCGCCTTAAAATACATTTTTTTTATTATTTGTTAAGCTAGCGCTGGACCACGATCCCACGTGAAGGAAGTGACGATGCAGTCGAAAGATGGTACGCGCTAACTTAATAGGTTCACTCTCCTTTTGATGGCCCCCACGTCATATTTGGACGGGAGAACTGATGCGGGCAACATGTTCCAATCCTTTGCAGCTCCCCTTCCATTCCAGTTCATCAAAAGATCTGCAGTCCTTGTAAAAATTCATCTGACTTGACTTTAGATTTAAAGTGCACATTTCTGTTTTATATAAAAACTGGTATTTTTACAGTCGTAACAATGTAAATCGATCTCATGAATATTTAAGCAAGGCATTATGCAATAAAACATACATATTCAAGATGTCTGAATTTAAAACTACATTTAGCTATACCGCTTGCATTTTAGCTGTTTTAAATTTTTATTCGTTCAATTCCGCAGTAGACTCCTGAAAGGAACTTGGATTTTTCTTTGCTATTTAGGTTAATATTTGAATGAGGTTATTTAAAACGTTGCTTTAATTTATTTAAATTTGACCTAGATCTTTGTGAGTTTTTCAAATAAGAATTCTTTGTCGCTCATTAGCAATGACCAGCAGTACCGTATTTACATAAAAAAAAATGTAAAAGCTTAACTTTAACCTAAATTAAAACACTTAATAAACAATTATTGTATATATTATAGCACTTTTTAGTTTTCTGGCAACACTTTCATATTTCCAGTTAAAAATACCGGATATCAAGAATTCAACGTCACTAACTAAAGATGAACTCGTTTAGTTCGAGCAGACTAAATACCCAACACTTGAGAGTCGAGCTAAGGCCAACAAAGCGTAACCAACTTGTAACTAACGAGACATTGGCAGCGCCTCTAGTGGATATTTGCCAATTGTTTTGAAGTTATTAGGGTTGTCAAAAATACCTTTTCCCATATGAAATGGCCTGTTTGAGACGAATGAAAAGATTTTATTTTTTTGTTGTGAAATAACTTGTTGTTCAATTTGACAGACGAAAACATTTTTTTGTCAACTTCAAAGAATCTTAATCTAATCAGGACAATTTCTATAATTCTTATAGTTATTTTAAAGTAACTTTCTAACATAAATGATACAGTAACCTATAAGTCCTTAGAATCACGTTCAACAGTTTTTAATTTTAATATTCACTACCAATGATAGTAAACTAGACGCAGCCCTGATATCAGAGTCTGCAACTGGATTATACAACAATGGATGGCTGGAAGGCGCAGTGGCGTCGATCCAATGCGACAGCTGCAAATTGAATATATTTTTATTGCTAGTAAAAAATTCACTTCCCTTAGGATATTTTTCATAAATGAGAAAGGATCTCCAATATCTAATATTATAAAGAGAAAAGATATACATTTTTGGATATATTGAAAAACTGTGTAGTTTTAATCCAACGCTATCAAAAATTATTTCACCGTTAAAAACCTACATTATCAGTGAGTAACATAGACTATGATATTTTTTTTTTACTTAGACGAAGTCGCGAGCAGCAGCTTGTCGGGTAGTTTCAAAAGAGTTTAACATAGTTGGCAAAATAATTGTAGCTTTAAATGTTCAAATAAAAAAAAAATAGGAGAATAATATCTACATATGAAATCTTTATTTCGCTTTAATCTAGAATCTTTTTGACACTTTCAAGTTTATGAACAAGCTCCATGAAATGTCAAATGACTTGAACTTCACATCTGACATTTTCTTTCAAAGTCGAATAAACAAACCTGTGAAGTGAATATATTTTAATTAAAACTTTTCGGGAACTTGTCGTTGTTGGCTTTCTGACGGTAAAGTTTTAAGCATTTTTAATTTCGTAGTTACCTTACAGTTAACAGATAAATGCTGATGATGATGATGATGATGATGGTGATGATGATGATGATGATGATGATGATGATGATAATGATGGTGATGGTGGGATGGCCTTATGCTAGAACATTGCACCCAAATATTTTCCTTTTTCTGTCACTTCCTTTTGATTAGGTTAAAGAAAAGGATATCAGCGTAACTGGATTTACTTTATACAAACGATTTTACTTTGACGATTAATTTGTCATTTTGATAAAAAACTTTCCTTTTTTATAATAAGATCTATTCAACTGTCTTTTGTCAATACATTTTTAACAACACAGTTGTTTAGTGTTTTCTTTATCCGTCTCTTATGGCAGAATTCCCTCACTAAGTGGCGATTTACCAAACCAGTGTTC